TATAGTTATCTTTTTTGTAATAAGTCCTATGTTGTGGATATCTCTTAGTCCCAACACATAGCCTCAATGTAATCCAAGTGTTAGTTTCAAATGCCAATGCCATTTAGTTTGCTACCGCAGAACTGCTAGTTTAATTCATTCTTGGAGGACTACTGCAACACTATGGATTCACCTTATCTATTGTTCTGGAATCTTTCTTTGATTTTGCTGTAGGAGTAAATGTCCAAGACCCCCTTATTTCCATTCCTATTTGGGGCCTGGTCATTGGTTTAGGAGTTTTGTCTCCCCTAGTGTATGTGTTAAAGTATTGTTGAAGTTTCGTCATRGATGGTTTGTGTGTGGAGCAAGGTGTGCTGTCATTTGGCTGAGTTGTGGAGTACTGATCATTATACAGAATTACGATAACTGATCTGTGCCTACTATGACATCAACAACACCAATTACTACTAAAAGAGAAATAACAGGGTCAGCATTTAACAACAGCAACATCAACACATCATGAATTATATCTAGCATGAAAACAAAGACCAGGTATTAACTACTCCCTCCATTGAACTAATAACCACAATACCATGAATGGTAGAGGCAGGAATTATAGAAATGAAATAGTTATAAAAGATAGCAAAATTACAGTTTATTAAGAGAAAAGAAAATGGAATATGAAAGCAAAAGTTTAAAGTATTAAAAAAGTAAACAGAGGAAAAGCAAGAAGGAGGTAGCAAGTGATGGCTATATATATATATAAAAAAAAAGAGGGAGTAAAAAAATAACTAAATATGGGCTGGGGTTGTGGCTCAGTGGTGAAGCACTTGCCTGGTATGTATGAGGCACTAGGTTCAATTTTCAGCACCACATAAAAATAAATAAATGAAATAAACATATTGTGTTCATCTACAACTTGAAAAAAAAATTTTAAAAAGAAGCAACTAAACAAATAAAATGAGAATGAGAGAAATTGGCTATTGGAGGGGAAGAAAGGAGAGAAGGAATGATAAGACAAACAAAAATAAAATAAAAAGTCAAACCCAAACAAACAAAAACCTCTAACCCTCTAAAGTCAAAATAAGATGAAATAACAAATGGGTAAAAAAAAATGATAAAAATGAAGAGATGAAAAGTACACATATACATATATATGTATCCACAAACAAATCAGCACAGCAAGAATGCGTGTGTGTGCATGTGCATACACACACAATACAGAAAAAAAGGGAAAAAAATCTTAGCGAAAAATAAAGGCACTGTTCTCCACTGAGGTAGTCAAAACTGTTGAGAAGAATGGATGTTCACTACCTTTGCCTACTTCCCTTTGTTCTGTTTTTTCTTGAACTGTGTACAGCTCTTAGACAGAGCAATGGCTGGGTACTGCTAAACCTGTCTTGTTGAGTTGCTCACTAAGCTGCTGATTGGAGTGGCCTCARCTGAAGTTGGTTGTAAAAGCTCTCAGCTTCCCTCCTCATCAATATAAGGTAGGACAGAATGGGAAGCAGTGAAAATTGGAGTTTTGTCTGATCAAACTAGTTAAAATGCACTCCCAGGGCAGGGCTGATGTAGAGTTCTAAATGTAAAGTCCAACAGCTAGTGTTTAGCCCTGATTGACCTTGTAATTTTGCCAGCAGTATCTGCTCTAGAAAGAAAAGCTTCACCCACTCTATTGCCAAGCAGGTATCCATCTATGTTGGGAAATATCAGGACTTCAGGGGCCTCCTGAGAACTGCACTTGTAGGAGAGAGCAACTAACTCTGCAGGTCTCTCACTTTCCACCACCCACAAATGCGGTCATGGCAGGACCAGGTCCCAAGTAAAATGTGTCCACCTGTGAAGATTCTGGGTTTTCTCTCACTGATCCCACAAGCTGCCAGACCCAAAGGGAAAGAAAGCYACACTCTGCTCTGTATCCCTAGCCTGAGTTCCCTGGACACAATCCTTTTTTTCCCCATCTAAGTCAAATCCTGCCAGGCACACTCTGTACCTCACAGCAGGCACTTGCTGGGACAGTCTGATACCACTTGTTACGATGGGCTCCAGCAGCAGAAAGCTAACATGTGGCCGCTTTGAGATGGTTCCCCACCTCAGCTCCACTGGCCAACAAAGAAATACAGAGTACTTTTCAAACACTAGCTCTACATGCTGCTTCTGGGTCAGTTAACATCACACTGCCTCTCTATTCCATAGGTTCCCCATGCTAATTTTTTTCCATAGCTTTTCTCTCTTTTTGCCTGTATCACCCTTCCCCCTCTTTGGTGAACAGTTTCCCACTGGCACTACTGGCCTGGCTCTTCAAAATACCCAAATTTCTGTTTCTCTGTGATTCTGATATTGAATTCCCTTTCATGCACTTTCCTGGTAAGCAGTGAATCCCAGACACAGAACAACTGAAAAATGTACCTTCCTCTGATATTTCCTCATCCMTTAAAGCATTATTTTTCATGGCTACATTTATTTTTTCACTAATCATTCATTCTAAAAATATCTACCCAGCATTCACTATGTGCCAACCACTGATTTTACTGATAAAAATAAAGTAAGGAAGGAACAAAATAGAAAAAAAAATAGTCATTTTTATAATTCTCACTTGATATTTCTTTACATAGTTGTATTGTTAAATATTTCTCAAACAGAATGGCCTATGCTATGGTTGGAATATGGATAGTGTTCTCTAAAGGTCCATGTGTAAAGTCTTAGTCTCCAATAATAGTACTAGGAGGTGCTACGGATCTTGAAGAAATGGAACCTTTTGAGAGGTCGTCTCAAATACAGTCCATCATCATGGTAATAATCATAATTTCAAGAGCTATACGTATTATTATGTTACTAAAAGTAATGAACTCTTTTCTACAATGATTTCAGATTAGGTCCTTATCCTAGATAATGGTGAACCATTGAAAGTTTCTCAGTAGAGGAATTACATAGATTATATTTCAACTCATGTTAGATTATATTTCAACTCATGTTGAAATATAATCTCCATTATGAGATATTCTCATAGTTTAGGAAAATTATTTCAACAATAAAATGGAAAATTAAATTCCTTGAATATAAATAAAATATTCCCTTAACATGTGCTTAATTTAATTGCAGTTGCAGAACTGAATACCTTGATATATTAATAAGGACTTCTATATAATTTCTACAAAACAACAGCCTAAGATCATTACAAAATAGCATTTAATTATGGTATCAGTTTTCTAGGGATGCCATAACAACTATACTATAGACTATTTTAAAGAACAGAAATTCTCACAGATTTGCAGGATAGAAGTCCAAGACTGAAGTGTCAGCAGATCTGATGTCCTCTCAGGCACCTCCTTTCTGCTCGCAGAAGGCAGTCTTCTTGCTTTGCCCTCGTGTGGTCTTTCCTCTGTGCACTGTCATCTCTGGTGCCTCTCCTTCTTATTAGGACATCAGTCACATTGGACTAGTGCCTACCRATGTGCCATACATACCTCCTAATTAAAGGTCCTATCTATAAATACAGTCACATTCTGAGGTATACAGGTAGATAAGACTTTAATATATGAATTTGTTAGGACACAACTTAGACCACACTTACTAATTAATACATGTAGTTCATACACCATTTAGAGGGGTGCACATTTTTCACATTACTTCTCAATAGTGGTAATATAATAGCATTTGGGTGATTAAACACTGATGCTTATTTTTTCCATGACTAGTTAAACATACCTATGAAATAGCTGTCACACAGGAGGAAATAATTTCAGAGAATGACACTGAAAAATCCATAAACACTGAGCATGTTAGTGTCAAATTGAAGCCTTCCCACAGAGGAGAAGTTATTTCCCAAGATGCTTACAGGCAGTTCTTGGTAAAGGTAAAACTTAAGTCCAAGGTAAACATAGTGATCCTCCTTCTGTACATGAGAAAACTGAGATTCAGAATTTAAGACTTCATGGTCATACAGATAAAGAGTTGGCATGGCTGGAATTTGTATCTTGCTCTCCAGAGGTTGCATATATAATTATTTTTACTTTTAGTCATCCTAGATAGTGCTACTAGGGAAATGATGAGAATTTAGTGAAACATAGAATTCAGGAAATCGCTTTTTAATTCACGATTGTAATAGCTTATACCTCTTTTTTACTTAAGTGAAGAGATTTTCAGGCTCCACATCTCATGACCTCTCTACTAGATACACAATGGCATGAACTTGAATTATAATAGAATTCTTCACTTTTCTGTCTCAATTTCTTCACCTAAAAAATTAGAATAATATCACTGCTAGGATTTTAATATGGTCTGTCTCCTGTGAAACTCATGTTGAAATATAATCTCCATTATGAGATATTAAGAAGTATGACCAAGTAAGATCATTAAGGGATGATTAGGGCTCTGTCCTCATGATTGGATTAATAGGTCAATGGGTTATTTGGAGAGTGGGTCTGCTAAAAAAGACTAAATGCACTAAATGCAATTATATGTTACAAATTTTCTGTCCAAAACCAGAAATTAATTTAAATATAGATTTTTACATAAATAACATGTAGATATTTATGCTCCCTTTAATAAAATCTAAAAATCCTCCAGTTCTAATAAGATAGTAGGGTGTTTCCTCTGCAAAATGCAAGCAGTTTGTAGAAGGCAATAATATACATGTAAGTCTCTGGAATGTTTTCTCTATAGATATGAATAAAATTTAACCTAGTACCATAACATCATTTAAAATTATTTGAAAATAATAACTAACAAGTAAAGCTATTTTTCACTGAACTAGTATTAAATATTATCTTGCTCYCTACTATTTCAGAAAAGAAGAGAGTTTGTATGGTCATAATATTAAATATAGTTCTAGTAAAAGCTTTATTCTTTACAAAGTGGAACTATTAAAAATGGATAACAAAAAGCTTCCTTTCTGATAACTAGTTATGAATTCTTGAAAAGACCTTCTGGGAAGCTTAGAAAATTTGCTATTTCCCTCTAGGAAAATCTTTGTACTGAAAAGAATAGAAACCACAAGGAATAAGTGTAATACAGGCTTATTTTTTTTCCAGAATTTAATGTTTTTGTAAAGACATAAAATATAAAATTTATCAAAAAATTTAAAGGTTCATTTGGGGTTAAATACTAGGATTGAAACTCTTCTTGTAATTGATTTAAGGTTAAAAGTAAACATAATATAAAWATACAACTGTTGCAGCTGTACAATATAAAGCCCACCTACAAAAGGTAGGACAAAGGTAGATGTCTGAGAAAATATACACATAATGACCTTAGTAACAAATTTCAAATGGTTTCAGTTCCCAAGGTCTAAAAGAAGGATCATCTTGCRTGCTTAGATTCCACTTCTTCAAGAATCCACTCTATGCCATTCAAAAAACCAGTTAAAGTTTCAGCCTCCATATCCTGGACCTATGAGCAGATAAGAGAGAATGTTGTCAGTGATAAATCGAATCCAAAATCCTGTGATTTTGAGGGATATTTTCTAGAAACTTTAACAAAAAGAACTTAGAATATCTCAATAAATTTTGGGTAAGTTACTCAAGTGATGTCTTATAGAATACTTAGATAAAAATATTTTCTTGTATCTTTTCTCTAAGATGCAAATAAATAAATGAGAGATGATTATAACTAATACCACAGAAATACAACTATATGCCAACATATTGGAAAATCTAAAGAAACAGACAAACTTCTGAACACATAAAATCAACCAAAATTGAACAATGAAGATATAGAAAATCTAAACAGTCTAATAATGAACACTGAGATTAAATCAGTACTGAAAAGTCTTCCAACAAAGGAAAGCCCAGGATCAGATGGCTTTACTCCTAAAGTCGATAAAACTTTTAAGGAAGAACCAACTCTCTTCAAACTATTTCAACAAATTGAAAGGGAATGAATTCTTCTAAACTACAAGACAAGCACTGCCTAATACCAAAACCAGACATGCAGAAAACAATAACAAAAAAGAAAACTGTAGATCAATATCTAATGAAAAAAGATGGAAAATTTCCTGATAAAACATTAGCAAATTGAATTCAATAGCACCTCAAAATGATCTTTCATCATGATCAAGTGGGATTTATCCCAGGAATGCAAAGATGGTTCAAAATATATAAATCAATAAATATATTGCATCATATCAAAAACCCCAAAATCATATGATTATGCAATAGATACACAAAAACATTCAATAAAATTCAACATCCCTTCATGATAAAAACTGAACAAATTAGGTATAGAACAATCATTCCTCAGTATAATAAAAGCTATTCATAACAAACCCACAAACAATATTACACTGAAGTTTCAGCTTTTCCTTTAAATCTGGAACAAAACAAAGATGCCCACTCTTATCAACATAGTACTAGAAGGCTTTTATTCAATAACATAATGAAAGGCTTAGCCAAAGCAATTAGGCAAGAGATAGAAATTTAAATTTTTTTTAAATAAAATCCTTGCAAATACGAAGGGAACAAGTCAATTTATTCCCATTTATTCGATTTATTCCAATTTGTAGATGATATAGTTCTATATATATAGAAAAACCTAAATCCTCCACTATATGATCATTAGAAATGCTGAAAGAATTCCGTAAAATTGAGGGATATAAAATCAACATACAAAAATCAACAGCATTTTTATATACCAATAATGAGATTTCTGAGTAAAGAATCATTAAAGGACTCTCATTTGCAATAGCTAAAAAAAATACAAAGGAATCAATTTAATTAAGGAAGTAAAAGATTTCTACAATGGGTGGAGAACAGGGAACCTTGACTTACTGTTCCTAGGAATATAAATTTAAGAAAACAGCATGTAGGTTCCTCAAAAAATTAAAAATAGAACTACCACATGATCCAGCAATCCCCCTGCAAATATATCCAAAGGAAAGGAAATCTGTATGTCAGAGATATCTGCACCCCATGTTCACTGAAGTACTAGTCTTGACTGCCAACACATTCAGAGTCAACTAATAAATGATAAAGATGTGATATATGCATATAACAGAGTACTATTCTACCATAAAAAATGAAATCTTGTCCTTTGTGACAACATGAACTGAGATCATGTTACACGAAATAAACCAGGCACAGAAAGACAACAACTACATAATCTTACATGTGGAATCTAAAATAGTTTAATCTCATAGTTAAGAATAGACCTAGAAGCTGGGTATAGTATGGGCAGGGAGGAATGGGGAAAGATTTAGCAATTGATGCTATGTTACAATTAGATACAAGTAAGAAGTTCCGGCCTGCACACTACAGCATAGTAGGGTGATGACAGATAACAAGAATGTGTTCTACATTTCAAAAAGCTAAAAGAATGGATTTTGAATGTGTTCATTATAAAGAACATTTGAAAAGAATGATATGTTTAACCTGATTTAAACATTATACAATGCATACTGGTGTTAAAACATTACATGGTACCCATTAATGAGTATAATTTTCATGTTAGTATTAGTTTAAAAATATATTTTTTAAATAAAAAGAGTCTGGGAAATAGCTACTCCTCTGACTAGTAGAGCTAAAACTCCCACTATTCTGGAAGTCTTCAACACACATTCCAAAGAGTCTCTGGAGCTCCAGGGAAGATATGAGGGAAAATGGAATAAAATCTGCTAACATTTTCCATGAAAACATTTCCAACTTTATCGTTTCTTTACCTGTTGTCTCATAGGTTTTCATGTCACTTTCATTCAAAGAAAGAATTCCATGATTAAAATAAACTTTGCAAAGTAATAAACTATATGCAGAATCCTGTTTGTTTTGTCTTTTTTTTTTTTTTGGCAATGCTGCGATCAAACCCAGGGCTTCATGCATCCCCAACCATACCCAATTACTATCTCTCTGTTTCTGTGACAGGAGAGGCAAGTGGGGAACAATTGGCTAACTGAGATATTAATACAATTCAAACAACTCCCATCAATAAAGCTCTTAAAATTGACTTTAGAATGCTGTTTCATAGAAGAGGATGAATGTGAAAGGATAAAACTTTTATTATTTGGACAAGTGACCCCAAATTTCAAAGGTTTAGTTGCTAGGCCATGGTACTACTGCAAAGTGACAGAAAGAACCTTTAGGAGTTGAGGCCTAGTAGGAGGTCTTCTTATCACTGGGGACGTGCTCTTGGAGGGGATATTGGGATTCCAATGTCTTCCTTTTTCTGTTTCATTCCTGGCCATGAGGTGAATGAGTATCCTCTGCCATGTACTTCCACCATGATCTACTGCCAGGCCACAGGCCCAAAAGCAACATGAACAACTGACCCTGGACTGAAACGTACAAAACTGTGAGAGAGATCTTCTAAGTGATTATCTCAGGTATTTTGTTACAATAACAGAAAACTAATACAAAAATCAAATAGATAATAGAGTGAAAATGATATTTTTGTCACCAAAGAAGTTAGGACCTTACCATCCATGGGTGGTTTAGAAGATTGAGATGCAGCTCATGTGCCAAATAAAAACAGGGCATTCTTTTTACATCTGCTTGAGAAGTACAAGATAAAACCAGCATTGGTCTTCCTGAAGATCCAAAAGCTGGATCTGTCATTGCCATGATTCGAGAAAATTCATCTTGCCATTCATGTCCTAAGAAATGTAAATCAAAACCTTTAATTTATATAACCTCTAATGATTTTTAAAATCATAAAATTAAATTTAAAATGAACCAAGTAAGGGAAAAAACTTTACCAAGCTCCAGACATAACAAAATGTCTCTTTCTGGGCTTTATTGCTTTGTCATAAAATTAGATTAAGGAATCTTTCAAGGATAGGAATTTAGGTTAAGCCAGAGGAGGGAAAAATCACAATACTGTTTGGAAGTATCTAGAGTTTAAATGTAAATATCTTTTATATAGATATTTTCCCTCACAAATTCTGTAGCTGTCACTATCCTTTCTCTTCCAAAAGTCTTTTTTTTATATTTATTTTTTAGTTGTAGGTGGACACAATATCTTTATTTCATTTTTATGTGGTGCTGAGGATCGAACCCAGTGCCTCATGTGTGCTAGATGAGTACTCTGCCACAGAGCCACAACCTCAGCCCTCAAAAGTCTTAATTTCAAAATTTTAGCGTATATTTGGTCCAATATTTTAATTCAAATTGATTATCATTTATTGGAGTGTTTACATTTTAGGTTAAGATACTTAGAATTAAGCATCTTAATTCTCAAATGACCCTATGACCCTTGCATAACCCTTTTCCCTTGAGTGGTGGAGAAGCATGCAAATATGATGAGATATTGCTAAGCTTTAGGACACGGTTGACTTTAGCAAAGGAGAGGCTGAGCTAATTAGTAAGTCTTTATGAGGGGTTCTTCCCAGTGAGACAGGATGAAGAGAGATTCTGGATTTGAAGATGGGAGGGAATACAGGGCAAGGAATGTAGGTGGCCTCTAGAAGATGAGAGCAGCCTCAGTGCCAGCCAGCCAGAAAACAAGGACTCCAGTTCTTTCACAATGAGCACCTGAACTTAGCCATTAACTCAAGTGACCTTGGGAGTGGATTCTTCCCAAGAGCCTCAAGACAAGGATGTAGTCCATCTGTACTCTAACTTCAGTCCATGAGACCATAAGCAGAAAACCTACTCCTACCTTGCCTAGACTTCTGTTATACAGAACTGTGAGCTACTAGGTGTTGTTTGAAGTAGTTTGTTATATATAACTGAAAATGAATAAAAGATGTAATGTAACTATCAATATGGTACATTTAAATCTAGCATTTCCTTCTTGGATTTGACTCTCCCATCAGTTCTCTGTTCATTTTTCCCTTTTTGCCTGTCTTCTTTTGTGGTTGAGTTTTGTTTGTTTGTTTGTTTTTTAAAGATTTCACTATTGGTTACTTAGTTATAACTCTGTTAAACTTTCATGGGGCTGGAGTTGTGGCTCAGCAGTAAAGTGCTTGCCTTGCATGTGTGAGGCACTGGGTTCAATTGTCAGCACCACATAAAAATAAATAAACAAAATAAAGATATTGTATCCATCTACAATAGAAAAAATTAAAAAAAAAACTTTCAGTAGTTGATCAAGGATCTATAGTCATTTTCTGTTGTTGATAAGGTATTGGGGATTGAACCTAGGGCCTCACACATGCTAGGCAAGTAGTACTCTACCACTTAGCCACATCCCCAGCCATACAATAAACATTTTTAAATTGTAATAATTTACCTTTAAGTAATACAATATGATTATACATACAGAAGAAACACCCAATAATATACTTCAATTTTGCTTATGTTCTATTATCTTATACTTTAAAATAGCATATATCCATAATCCAATATTTTTCCTTTAAATAATTATGAAAAATTAAATCAGAAAAAATATCAGATATGCAACTGTATTGTTTCTACTTATAGATGCAAATTTTTATCTGGTGTCATGTTCTTTGGTCTTCAGAGGTTCCTTTAAGATTTTTTATAATGCAGATCTGTTGGCGATGAATTTTCTCAGTGCTTGGCTTCAATGTGTCCCCCAAAATTCATGTGTTGGAAATTTAATCTCCAGTGCAAGTGTCTTGGGAGGTAGAGACTTTGGTGGCAGGGATATTCAGAGTTCTGCCCTACTGAATGAGTTAATGTCAGCATAACAAGGGTTTATGGGAGAGGGTTCTCTTTGTTTTGTTTTTCTGCTATATGAGTACATCGTATTTGTTCCACTTTCCCTTCCACTCTCCATATCATGAAATACAGCAAGAAGGTCCTCGCCAGACTTCAGAGGCTAGTGCCTTGATGTTGAATTTCTCAGCTTCCAGAACTCTACAAAATGTGTTTTGTCCTTTATAAATTTGACAGTATGTGGTATTCTTTCATAGCAACACAAAGGAACTAAAACATTCAACTTCTTTTCTGAAAAAGCCTCTATTTGCTCCATTTCTGAACAAATAATTTTGCTAAATATTGGATATTTTTTTCTCTGTTGCATTCTTGTCTTGCAGTAATTCTGTCAGGAAGTTTGSTGTCATTGTTACCTCCAGTCTTTTATATGTATATTTACTTTTTTTCTTGACTGCCTTCAAGATATTGTATTTATTTATGGTTTTCATCAGTTTGATTAATATGTAATTCTCTTTGTACTTATCTGGCTCAGAGTTCTCTGAGCATCTTTAATCTGTGKTTTTTTTGTCTTTTAGTTCTTTTGAAATAATTTTGGTCATTATTCAAAATTTTATTTTTTTCCTATTTTTTCTCCTTTTACATTTTGAGRCTCCAATTGCACAAAAGTTAGACTAGAGTTGGCATACTACATTCTGCAGATCTGTTTTGGCAAATAAATTTGGATTGGAAAATAGCCATATCTATCCATTTAAATGTTGTCTATAACTGCTTTCACACTAAAACAGCAAACTTGAGTGAGAAAAATTATATAACTCATATGCCTAAAACATAAAACATCTAATATTAAATCTAAAATTCTTAAGACAAAAAAAAATCAAAGCAGGATTTTTTGAAAGGCATTTTTAATTTGTTCTTTTTAAATATACTTGACAATAGAGTGTATGTTGACCTATTATACATATACGGAGTATCCCTTATTCTAATTAGGACCCAATTCTTGTTTGTATATGATGTGGAGTTTCACTGATCATGTATTCATATATGAACACAAGAAAGTTATGTCCAATTCATTTTACTGTCTTTCCTATTCCCATCACCTCTCCCTTCCCAACTACCTATTCTTTTAAGAAAAAGTTTGCTGATGCCTAAGTTAGATCACTAGATAGGTTTTCCCAGCTCTCAGATGCTTCTGTTTCTTACTTTATTTTTATTTTTTCACTTTGTGTTTTAACTTGAATTCTCAGTGACCTATCTTCAGGTTCACTATTTCTTTCCTTTGTTGATAAACCCACTAAAAGAATTGTTCACTTGTTTACTATATTTTTATCTCTACCATTCTTATTTTACTTTTACAAAATAACTTCCTTTTTTCTGCTGAAAATTCTCATCTGWTCACACATATTGTTCAACTTTTCCTTTATATCTTTTAACACATTAATCATAATTATTTTAATGTCCCTTTCTGAGAGTGCCAGCATACAGTCCATCTCTGGGTCTGACTCAACTGGCTGCTGTATCTATTGATAATTTGACATTTATTTATTTATTTATTCATTATTTTTTAATCTTTTGAGAAGGAATATTGGTAGTTGGCCAGGCTTGTCTTGAAATCCTGAGCTCAAGTGATCCTACCACCTCAGCCTCCTGTGTAGCTAAAACTACAGGTACATGTCACCGCATCCTGCTTTGATTTTTTGTTTGTTTTTGTCTTAGGAGTTTTAGATTTAATATTAGATGTTTTATGTAGAAGAGCAGTAGACTGCAGTAAAGAGGATTTACTCCCAGAAACATGTTTGCTCCTTCTACTCCTTCTTCTCCCTCTCCCTCTCCTCCTTCCTGTCCCCACATCTTCCTCCTCCTCCTTCTGGTAAGCAGTGATTTGGGTCAAACCAGTCAGTCATTACAGAGTAGGACTGCTGCTACCTTGTTCTTAGTGCAAGAACTGGAATGTGAGTTTCTCTTTTCAGAGTTTTTGCTTTCCCCTCAGCTTTTAGATCTTCATACCTATACAACTAAGGAGGAAGGGGAGAAAGCCTCTCCACGCCCTTCCCTCAATCCCTAAAGTAGTTATCATTGTTTGTTACTTGGTAGGGCTACTGAGACTTCTGTTTTCTTGCACCAGCCTCAGTCGTGGGGAGACCCTGTGTACTTGAGCCTCAGTGGCAGAAGCTTTTTTGGTGTTCTGGCATGTCTAGTAAATTCTGCCCTATATTGGTAGAAAAGTCTTCAGTGCAAACTTCCTGTCCTCCCCCAGAATCAGCAAACATAACTTTTATAAATGCAGAATCCTTAATAAAGGGGGGATTCCTATCCCGCCCCTGGGGCAGAGTGCTTTTGCTTCTTCATTTCTCTGCAGCAACAGTTAACCTCTGCCATGAATCAACAAGCAGGGGATTTCTAATCCCATCCTGGTGGCAGAGAGCTTTGTCTTTTATTACAAAGGAATATAGAAAACAGGAGGATATGCCTATCCTTTAATAGCAGCTAATCATCACATGCATGACTGTATCATAAAGGAGGGTAACTCATAGGCCTCCTGCCCCTACSACTAACCTTCATATGAGCATTTAGTGGAGACCACTGGAAAAGAGCTGGTGAGTGCAGATTATCTTTGTATCTTGAAACTTTTTTTTTAAGAGAGAGAGAGAATTTTTTAATATTTATTTTTTAGTTTTCGGTGGACACATCTTTATTTTATTTGTATGTGGTGCTGAGGATCGAACCCAGCGCCCCGCGCATGCCAGGTGAGCGYGCTACCACTTGAGCCACATCCTCAGCCCTCTTGCAACTTTTTAAAATTTATATTTCTACTTGTTTTATAGAATAATATAAGTATCAGACTGGAAAACTAGATAAAAGTAGGGTGTCTGTTTCAGTTCTCAATTTTATCTCTAGCACTAAATATAGCATTTGACCTCAACAACTGTTTCTGAATAAATGAATGTATCATATATTTGTTTCAAAGTTTTCCTTTTATAGACATCCAAGTAAAAACAAAAATAATTTATATTATGAATAATTTCTCTAGATTTTCAAAGTATAATAGCTTCCATGCCTAATGGATTATAGGAGAAATAAATTCAGTAGAAATTCAAAACAATGTATTAAAGAACTTATACATATAATAGTGTTCACTACATATAAACAATATACAACAAATATTTATTATATATTTACATTCTTGTTCACAAAGGATTTGGGAAAAATTATAATACTGGCTCATGGCCCAATGATGTCATAGCTTCACAACTAAATAGCATTGTAAATGGCAATTTTTCAGAATACATGGAGAATGTCATCAACTCACCAACATAATTAATTAATCTACTTAATTAACACATTATTCCCATACCTCCACTATTGAGGTAAAAACAAAAGTAAAATTTTTCATAGTCATTTATATAAATTGTTTAAATAAGTCAGACACAGAAAAAACATCAATAATCAAAATGCAGAAGCATACAACCAAAAACATTATATAACTATAGTATCAAATTTTGACATGCATAAGAATTTCCCAGGTGCTTATAAAAAATAGGTGTCCAGGGCATACTCCAAGTCTATGAATAGCAATCTACCAGCTGTATAAAAATTGGGTAACTGTATGTTTCACAAGTTCTCCAGGTGATCCTAATATATAAAGAGGCTCGTGAATCCAATATTAATAGTAACACTCATAAAAGCCGAAGTAAAATTGACAGTCATATTCCCAAGATGCTACAGTAAATACTAAAAAAGCATTTTCTTATTTGTTTTATACAGAATAATACAGTAGTATTTTTTAAAAGAATATAAGAGAATGCTTACTTTTATGGGCTTCAGCATTTGCAACATAGATGAACCCATCTACAACTTCACACACTTTCTGGATCTGTGGAATTACAACGTACCGGTTTCCCTGTTGGTCATCTCCATCACTCTGTAAGTTGAACATCTTGTTGACTGCACTTGTATGTTCTTCCCTTGCTCTGTCTCTTTCCTTTCTATAAGAAAAATGTAAATAAATATACATCATATTATGACACTAAACAGGTTCCATCYCCCACAAATGTTCCAATCCTAATGTTTCAAGTGGGCCACCAAGTAGTCAACCTTACCTGGTAGTTGAATACAATATCAGGATGTTGAATTTATGTTGGTTGCTCAACTGAAAACTGACTCCTGATCCAATACCTAAAGTATAAAATTACAGTCATCAAAATAAATCATTAATAAAGACAGCAAAATATAAAACTGAAAAAAATACCCAGTGAAAGCAAGAAGAGCAAAAAAAAACTTCTGACAAGTTATGTATAGCTTTGGAATAAAATGCAATGTTTTGTTGAAGAAGATGCTGTATGCAACTTTTATTCACATGGCAATAAAAATACAGAGAATGAAGAACTGCTAGGTTCTTCATGTCATTTTTCACTAACTGCAGATATACTGATATTTTGAGTTAGACTGAGCTTAGAATCCTGAATTTGCTACTTAGAGCTATGTACTTGAGCAGTTCCATTTTGATAAAAAATGGTAATAATATATTTTTYAAAGTTATTATGGGGCTTAACTGAGATCCTATATGTAAAACTCCCAGTACAGTGACTGAGAATAATAGGTGCTGAATTTTATTTTTTTAGATTGTATATATGAGTCATTTGACACTGTTATTTGTCGCTCTTTGTTAACCTTTTTTCATCCTTTGGCTGGATTAACACTCAGTGGTTGATTTTCTTCTTGTTGCCTGGAAAAATAGGTTCTGAGAATTACCTCTTCTTCTTGCTATATTAATGTTCTCTTCTTGCTATGTAAGCATCCTCTTAGATCTGTCTACTTTATCCTCTCTTGCATCCTTTAGTCCAAATTATCATTCTCATCTGAACTTCTGCAATCAATTCTAACCAGTCTCCTATATCCTCTTGTCTTCAACTATCCTTCTGATAGCAGCTGGAGAGATTGCTTAATAATATCTATCTAATTGCAGCTCTTCTTTACAAAGTCATTCACTGCACTTCAGATAGAGAAATAATATCTTAACATAATCTGGCCCCTACTTAGCTCATTAGAGACAATTCCAGGCTTCCATACCTTTAATCTCTGCCATATAATAAATCTGTTTGTTTAAATAAGCTATGCCATGCCATTTCAGGTCACCATTCTAGGCAACACATGTAAACAGTGTCATGACTCTTGGATAATGGGACTGCAACCATCCCAGACCACATGACCCTGGTCCTCTAATCAATTTTGGTGCTCCACCAAGAAATCATGGAAATAAAAAAATCTGCCATGTTTCTGAACTTTGGTTTCATCAGTTTAACTCCTCCAAATTGTCCTTTTAACACATCTAACTTCAGTACAACCTGTCCTAATGCTGTCCTGTACTTATTCACCAATGAAGTAAATTTCTTCTCTGATCTTGTAGAGTTTATGGCATAAGTAGAGTTACATATTTAAGCAATACTTCAGCTTCTGCTAGAGAATGGAATTTCCATTTTATAACTGGCAAATTTTACCATAGCCTCCATCGCTTCTTAAAGTGCTCCCCCCATCCTAATGGACTTACCTGAAACTGATCTGCCCCCAGGTGCTATTTCTCTTGCCATGGAGAAACAAAATTGCTTATTTTCTCACACTTCATAGTAAATAAGGTGGGAATGATGTTTCTTTACTCCCAATACCATATCTAAACCATTACTCACAAACTTTCTTTAAAAACTCCATCCATTTAAGAATCACAGCTGTAGCACCATCTTGTTTTCCTCAACCATGTCATTTATGAAGAAATAGTTCCTTCCCCCAAATATTCACTGAAGATTTCTGCACCTAGATCATAATCTTCCTCTCTATCCCCGCAAACTTCCAAGTTCACATACACTCCATTTGACTCCCAAATCTCAATTTCTAGCTCAGATGTTGCTCTTAATATCTGAGTGCATAAAGTAATCCATTTAGCTATTCATTCACAAAACATATATGGAGAGCCTACTATATAGCCTGGCACCACAGATACACTTAAGAACAAAGATGGCAAGATTCCTGGCCTCATGCAGCTTCTACTCAAATGGATAGCTTATAATAGGCATCTCTTCTTTGATCTTCCACAGAGTTATCAAAGTCAAAAWAATCCAAAGAAGTGCTGTTGTTCTCCCCATACTGATCCCATTCCTAACCCCTACATGTCTGCATCCCTACATCTAATAGGTGCACTCAATAAATGAATATGTAAAGCCTAAGTTAAATTGGTTATTATATATCCTAACTTTCCAAATAATTAAATACTTTTTTCATAGAGAGGAAGATGATGATTTAGCTTTTTTTTTAACATATACAAACATATATCAAAATCCTTTGCAACATATGGTGATTGTCTTATTCTAATAACTTTTTCTTAAAATAAACATGATACCTGCTGTTTAAATATAATATCCTGACAAGATGTAATTTACTTTCATATAATCTTAAATTCTGGATTCAAWTTTAAGGAATTAAGAGGAAACTTACTGCTTACAATAACTACACAATTTTTTCAGTCCAGTGTGATCTATAGGAGGGCACCAAGTTACTATATTTCCTTACTACTAAAGAATTAAAATGAGTTAATTTGCCTTTAAGACTACAGTCAAGTTCAAAGCATATGAATTATTATGTACTATAGACATAAAATTACCATCAATCTGCCTGTGAGGCAAACCAGCAGTTGGACTGAGTTCCTCAGAAGACATCAAGCTCAACACCAAAGATGTATCCAGTTCTTCCAAACCTGGTCCAAACATAGCAAATCGTGGTTCATTCTGAATGATTAATGAGTGTAAAAAGGAGGTGACGGCTCCATACATAGGGCGGCTGGATTTTGAGGCTCTTCTGGTATGTGGACAGCACATTTTATAACTGTACAAAATTGTCACAATTAGAAATTAACACAGAAAACATTGAGCCACTTGTTCATTTAAGAACACATGTTATTATCAAGCTGGACATAGGATAGGACCATAAGTATTATACAGTCCCAATCCACTAGGAGGACATTACCATGGCAGGGAAAAACACAAGGTGCTGTGGGAGTGGACGTGGCTCAGACACTGAGGAAGTCCTCCCCAGGAAGTGACTACTTAGTTTCTCATTTTCCATTTAGATTCTTTCATAGAACACTTAGTCTAACATTTATTTGGTCGGAATTTACTACATAGCTCATTGTCCTCAACCTGAGGAAGTTTTATTCCCCCTTTCTGTAATATTTGAAAACATCTAAACATTTCTGTTTGCACAACTGAGGAGAAAGGGGCCACTCTACTCCATCTAGTGAGTAGAGGCCAGGGATGCTGCTAAACATCAGACAATGCACAAGACAGTCCCCTACAACTACTGGTCCAAAATGTCAACAATGCTAAGACTGAAACATAACAATAAGCTAAACAATGACAATAAGCTACCCAGAGAGTATAAGTTTCATGAGAAGCGCTTTTTAAAACAAACTAAGGCCACCAAAATTAACAAATTACTTAGTTACTCCTATTACCAGCCTAAAATGTAATAGTTTGGTAAGAGCTAGCTGTAGAGGGAATGCTTAAACATTCCTTATTAAAAAACGAGCAAACAGTCATRTGAAAGAAACAATTCAGTTTCTTTCAATACATATAAACCTCTAAACGAATAATCAATTTTATCAGATATTAAAACAATTATCCAAAATGAAATAGAACCCAATGTCCTTTGTTATTGTTTGGATCTGAAACATCTCCCAAATGCACATTTGTCAAAGGCCTGGTCACCAGCCTGTGGTGCTACTAGGAGGAAGCACAGTTGGGGGCTCAGTGGAAGAAAGGTAGGTCACTGGGGTGGGGTAACATTGCCTGGGAGGGGTATTAGGAAGCAGACCCTCTTCTGTCTATCTCTTTCCTAGCCACCACATGGTAAGCAGCTTTGTTCTACCAAGCACTCTGAAATCCGAAGTCAAAATAAATCTTTCTTCCTTATAACTACCTCAAGTATTTTGTAACAACAAAAGAAAGCTGGATGACACAGCCTTTAAATGAATCAAGTTGCCAAAGACAATTACTAAGCTAACAAAATCATCTCTATTAGYAATGAAACTTATAATTCACACACAAATTTAACTTTGAAGCCWAGTAGCCTCTCCACGCCTTACCACTTTAACTAGTTATTAAGCCACTTAGAACTCCATTTTCTTCATCCGCTTTGTTGAGCAATAACATCCCAGGGTTGTAAGGAACAGAAATAATTGCATAATCACAAATGGCAGTTACTATGATTGTTACTATTCCCTGGGGAAAATATGGTTCCACATCATCAGATAAACTTGATGCTATGGTTGGCTATGGGGGCAAATCAGAGGTATTGCCCAACAAGTTACATAAAAGGTGGCACTTGTTGATATTATATACAATACATTATGTACACTTTCATCAAGTAGCTTGATGAGACATAGTGGCATATGGATTGAAATAAGGAAAGACTAAATAAGTTTAATAAATTTGGGAGAAAAATCCTATTGGGGGCTGGAAAAGTAACTCCTTCGCAGAGTACTTCCCTACGAGGTATGAAGTCCGGGGTTCCATCCTCAGCACTGGGAAAAAAAAGAAAAAGTTCTACAATAGCTCCTGATTCTAGCCCAGGAAAAYAATTCTTACCTAAAGCAGAGATACTATAAAATTTATTTTACAACACCTTAACTTTGGGGTTCTCAAGAAGGGAGATTATATTTACATTCAACAACATTATATGACTTTGAGGTAGCATGATAGGGTTCCAATCTGAATAGTTCTTTATAAATGTTAGACAACAATAAAAAAAAAATTGTATACGGGGTAAAAGGGGGAGTTCATAATCCACGTGAATCAAACCGTGTAATATGATGTATTAAGAACTATGTAATGTTATGAACGACCAATAAAAATAAATAAATAAATAAATAAATGTTAGACAAATCACATCACCTCTTTGAACCTCAATTCTACATCCACAACACAAAGACAAAACCCTCGTGTTGTATGAGGACTGAATGAGTAAATATACATAAAGCATCCCCCATAGAATCCAATATACTGCCTTTGTTCAATAATTCTCTCACATTCATGATATTTAAAAATGTAACTACTTTTGGATGACAACAAAATTTTATTTCCCAGAGTCTTGAGGATAATTTTCTTCAATGCCAAAAAACTACTTTCTCATCTCTGGCCATTCCTTTTCTGAATTTGGAAAAGTATTTTTTAACAAAAAGATAAGTGTTCCAAAGATAATGAGAATGTTAAGTGTTTTATTTCTTGCCATTCTATTATGGCTTGAATTTTAATTGTCCCCCAAAGACCCATATGCTAAAGGCTTGGTCACCAGTCTGTGGCACCAATGGGAGATAGGGCCTACGAGGGAAGTCAGGCTACTGGGGCTATGCCCTTGCTGGTAATATTGGGGCCCCAGGCTTTCCTTTCTCTCTTTGCTTTCCAGCTGCCATGAGGTGGGCAGTGTCCTTTGCTATACTTCCACCATGATATACTGTTCAGCCACAGGCCCTAAACCAATAGCGCCAACAGACCAGGGACTAAAACCTCTGAAACTGAAGCAAAATAAACCTTTCCTCCTCCGTTAAGCCATTTAGCTTAGGTATTTCTTATTAAAATACTGGTTAGGCACCCTAGGGAAATGTTAAAGCTGAAAGGTCTATGAAGGAAGTCAATTAACTCAACCTCTAATTTTGACAACAGGACACTTAAGACTCAAAATCCATGCAAAAAATCAATAGCAGGGCCTGAGCTAATGTGGACTCTTTAAAGGTTGAAAACGAATATCTCTTTTTAATTCATAAAACGAGATACTTACACTGCCATGTAATCAAAAGATGCRTTGTCAGTGACCTCAGATATAGGCTTTTTTAAGATTTCTACATCTGGAAGAGACTTCCAGTCAACAGAAGACCAAGAAGGAAGATCCCGCAACAGAAAGTATCTCCACAGAATTGGATCTCGTACAGTTTCGTTCCAATAATGATTTGTACTTCCCAGCTGACACAGATCATGGGGTGAAAGAAACGACAAAATATATAGCTGGACATCAATCTGCAACAGAAGAAAGCAGCAGCTCAGAAAAAGGAATAAATAATTTATCTTGGAAAATTATTGTTGATGATAAGTTGAACAATTAACAAAGAATTATACTGAACTACTAGAGGTCAATTGAACTAGTCAGCATTTTTAATAGTTAAATATATATACCTTCTGCAGAAATTTTCCTGCCATCAGGAGGAAAAAAACTGAACATTTTAATTTCTGACACACTGAAACATTCCTGAAAAACCAACTACTGTCCTGCTATTTTTCAAGCAAAATAATTATAAGCTCCGCAATTTCTTCTCATGGCTATTTTGATATAGCATTTATTTAAGTTAATTAGCTAAGGAAATAACTTATTCTTCAAAATAAAACCTTTATTAAGTGAACAAATTTATGATCTTACCATTAGATCAAATTAAAGAATGGAAATTTGTTATCTGATTTCCTATCTATAATTTATTAAACTCTTTCAAAGAACACTGAAAGGAGGAGAACCTTAGAGGCATTCTGATCCTGCAGTTTTCAATTTGGGATGAACAACAGAGCAAGATGTCAATAATCCAAATGATACACAGAATTGAAATTTTCAGGGATTTCTGTTCTCTCCACTTTTCTATCTACCTACAAAGTTTAACACTAGATAACTAGTATAATCTTTGTGGCCTGTTGTAACTTGAGGCACTTACTTTCAACCAAGTGGCAGCTTTGATCCTAACACACAATTAGGTAACAGCAACGTCCTGGGAGGGTGTTTAATACTCTGAGCCTGAGATAAAAGCTGCTGAGAACCTAAACGCTGGAAGAATTTCGCAAACTGACCCTGGGTCGGAAAGTCCTGTTTCTCACGCGGATGTGCAGGCTGTCCTGGGACCCAGTGCTGCCTCAGGGACAGACCAGAGAGCAGCGCTCTAGCTGGTCAGCAGGACAGCCACAAGGTGTCCCGTGACCTTCGCTAGCTGGGGAGGACCAGGGTCAACACCAAGGCCGTTCCTGTCAACTGCTACTGCCCGGCTACACAGCCTGAAATGGCAGCAGGAGCGGGGACCGCGGAGGCCCGCAGTGTGAGGCCCGGGCGGCCTCGGCGGCCTCGGCGGCCCTGGCTCACCGGCAGCTGCGTCAAGGTGCTGGTGTCCTCGTCCGCCTCCTCTCGGGAGGCCGTCCGCACGGTCCTCTCCTTGCCCACCGACTGCCAGAACGTCCTCCAGCCGCTGAGGATGGCCGCCTCCAGGCGGCCCCAGTCGCTCGGGGGCGGCGGCGAGGAGCTGGTTCCGCTGCGCGGCTCGCTCCCTGCCATGACCCCGCGCCACGTAACGCGCCGGGGCGTGCGCTGGCGCTGGGACCCGCTCCGCGTCGCGCCGCGGGACCSGGCAGAGACGTGGGCCCAGCTCGGCTCGCAGTGCCCTCCAGCAACCGCTTCCGGGTTCGCTTAGCTGCTGGCCTCTGCCGCAGACCCGCTGGCCGCACCCTGAGCCATGAAAACCTCTGGCTCCTTAACGACTTCCTGACTTTAAGGTGTTCCCTCTGGCTAGAGCCCGGTGCCTCTCGCCTGGCCCCGGCGACTGCGGCTTGGTCGAGGAATGTCCCTCTTCCACTACCTTGGACTTAATAACCAAGTTGCTTCCTTCTCAGTACTTAGGCATGGGAGGGTTTTTGTTTTTTGGTTGTTCAGTCAACAGTTTACCATCTCATCTTTTGGAGATTAGCAAAAATTGAAACAATGTCAAGTCAGGAGCCTGTGGAATTAAGTTCCCTTAAAAAGCCTCATGAATTAAGTTCCCTTAAGAAGCCGCATCTACATTAACCTACAGCCTGTTTTGACCTCCACCTACTTGAAAATGGTGATTTGGGAGAGACTGAATGTTGTAGGTCGAGAGCCAAAGTGACTATTAAGTAAAACTTACGTATTGCTAGCTTAGTAGACCCCTTTCACCTACCTTAAGTCTAAGAATGCTGTACCTGAAACCTATGGAAAAGATTTCTCCATTTTGCTGCAACCCAGGTACCACTGGGTTAATATTATTTATGACCATGGTTTTATGGCTCAAAGTTCCACAAGGAAGCATGCCATTAAATATAACTTGAGTCACTGTTCCCAGGCTATGATTACTCCTATCTGGTTTGGAATAATCTTATTTCCTTAGAGTTGCTATTTTATATGGACAAGCCCAATCATAAAGAACTCATGCCAAAAATTAGGAGTTTGGGCCCACTATTCAACAATACAAGTACAGTAAAAATCGCTGAGCAGACCATCTCATAAAAGGGCCAAAAACAAAGCGACAGCTGACAGAGAACCTAGATGTAGTATTGTTGAAATCTCACTAAGGAATTTTTGTCTCTCCAAATTGATGCCTATCAAAATCTCAAACCTTCAATGATACTAYTGAGCTACAGTAACAAAAACAGCATGGTTTTGGCACCAAAACAGGCAAGAGACCAATGGAACAGAAGATACAGAGCCAAACCACAAAAACCCAGTTACCTCATTCTAGACAAAGGAGCCTAAAACATATATTGGGGAAAAGATAGCCTCTTCAACAAATGGTGCTGGAAAAACTGGAAATCCAGATGTAGGAATATGAAATTTAATCCCTCTCACCCTGTACAAAACTCAAAGTGGATCAAAGACCTAGAATTGAGATCAGAAAACCCATACATACTAAAAGAAAATGTAGACCCAACATGCTAACATATCAGCTCAGAAACTGACTTTCTTAATAAGGAATCCTAAAGCACAAGAAGTAAAATAAAAAATCAAACTAAAAAGTTTGACATCAAACTAAAACGTTTCTTCCCAGCAAAGGAAACAATCAACAGCATGAAGAAAGAGCCTATAGAATGGGAGAAAATCTGTACCACCTGCACCTCAGATGCAGCATTAGTTTCTAGGATATATAAAGAATTCAAAATACTTCATACCAAAAAAACAACCCAATCGATAAATGGGCAAAGGAACTGAACAGACACTTTTCAGAAGAAGAAATTTATGAATGGTTAACATATATGAAAAAATGTTCAACATATCTAGCAATTAGAGAAATGCAAATTAAAACTACACTGAGATCCATCTCACTTCAGTCAGAATGACAATAATTAAGAATATAAATAACAATAAATGTTGGAGAGAATATGGGGGGAAATGTACACTCATACGTTGCTGGTGAGACTGCAAATTGGTGCAATCTTTCCAGAAAGCAGTATGGAGATTCCTCAAAAAACTAGGAATGGACCCACCATTTGACCCAGCTATTCCACTCCTCAGTATATATCCAAAGGATTTAAAATCAGAATACCACAGTGATGCGGCCACACCAATGTTTATAGCAGCTCAATTCACAATAGCTAAGGAGCCCTTCAACAAGTGAATGAATAAATAAATAAATGAGTATTGATTTTATATCCTGCTACTTTGCTGAATTCATTTACTAGTTCTAGAAGTTTTCTGGTGTAACTTTTAGGGTCTTCCAGGTATAGAATCCTATCTATACCCAAAGGACTTAAAAACAGCATACTACAGGGACACAGCCACATCAATGTTTATAGCAGGACAATTCACAATACCTAAACTGTGGAACCAACATAGATGCCCTTCAAGAGATGAATGCATTAAAAAAATGTGGCACATATACTCAATGGAATATTATTCAGCAATAAAAGAGAATAAAATCATGGCATTTGCAGGTAAGTGGGTGGAGTTAGACAGATAATGCTAAGTGAAGTTGGCCAATCCCAAAAAACCAAATGTTGAATGTTTTCTTTGATATAAGGAGACTGATTCATAGTGGGATAGGGAGAGGGAGCTTGGGAAGAATAGACAAATTCTAGATAGGGCAGAGGGATGGGAGGGGAAGGTAGCTGGCATGGGGTAATTAATGATGGTGAAATGTAATGATCATTATTATCCAAACTACAGGTATGAAGACACAAATTAGTGTGAATACAACCAGAGATATGAAAAATTGTGCTGTATATTTGTAATAAGAATTGTAATGCATTTCACTGTCATATATAAATTAAAAAAGAAATGAATGAATAAAGAAAATGTGGTATATGTACACAATGGAGTATTACTCAGCCATAAGAATGATTTTATGACATTCATGAATAAATGGATGAATGTGGAGATTATCATGCTCAGTGAAATAAGCCAGTCCTAAAAAGCCAAAGGTCCAGTGTTTTCTCTGATTTGTGGAAGCTAACCCACAAYAAGRGGGAAAGGGAAGAATAGAATAGATATTCAGGAGATTAGGCAAAGGGGGGATAGGAAAAGAAGAAACAGTGGAATGAATCTTTAACAATTTTCCTATATTCTTGTATTCTATATTATCATAGAGTGAATCCCACTAGTATGTACATCCATAAGAATGGGATGCTAATTAGAATAAGATATATTCCATGCATGTATAATTATATCAAAATGAATTCTACTGTCATGTATAACTAAAAAATGTTAAAATGTTTTTGATTCCTATTCTACTTACTTTGCTTTTACTTCAAAAGGGCTTTAAAAAACTACACCAGAGACAGATCATATTATAAGATAATCTATTATAAAGAACACAGTTTAGTTTCTGAAGGTAGGAAATAAGAATATTTCAGTTTAATGTTACATTAAATATATAATTTAAGATTTCTAGGATTATTCAGAAAAGAGTAGGGCAGTATCCATCACAAGATGTAAAAGAAAACTGCACCTGAATAAAATTAATCAATGATTTTAAAATTCTATAATAGAGTTAGATTCCACATAATCTGRGTTAAATTCATTTCTAATTAGTGATTGCTTATTACATCCAGGACATGAAGATATTCAAAGGTGAAAATTCTAAATTTCACAATGACCCTTTGTACAAAATTGTTTTATTACCTCAATTGTCAAAACATTCTCTCACATCTAACCCAAGTCAGCTGGCTAAAATTAATCCCATTTATGACTTAAAAAAAAAGATGTGGTAACCATCTTCAAAAACTATAAAATCTTTAAGGATTATGGGAAGTTATAGAAAACTTATGCATTTTATGAATATACGTATTTAAATAAATACATATATTTAATATTTTATATACCAACACATAACAGAGTGCTTAATGGTCAATGAAGCACTATAATGTATTGGTGTGAACTTGCATTCAAAATGTATCTGAGAATCTAAATGAAATAGAAATTCAAAAGCCTTATAGCTGAGAGTGTCTGGATCCCCATAATAGCAAGAAGACAAAAACATTAGCTCATTATTAAGTGAATGAGAAATATACTTAATAGGGAAAAATCTGAACATATAGAAAAGGAGAAAGAATAATAATCTCCTATATACCCAATTTTTTTAATTCAACAATTTCCAACATCTGGTCAGTCTTTCTCTGTCATTCTCCCCACCTAACACCACATCCCCAATTTTGGATTTTTTTTAAAAAAGCAAATCCTAGATATCATGTCTTTTTATCCTTAACTATCTCCCTATCTGTTTCCTATAAAATAAGGGACAGATATGAAATGTAACTACTGTACACAATTATTACACTTAAATTAACAATTCTTTAAAATCAAAATCTTTGTCCATGTTCCAATTTCCCCATACACCTTCACATTTGGTTTGTTTGAAGCATGATCCAATAAGGTCTACAAATTGCACATATTCTTAGAACTTTTTCAATCTTTATATTCCTCCTCCTTTACTTTTCCTTGCAATTTGTTAAATCATGTTGATCTTTCTGGACCACATTCCGGACCTTCTTGATGGTATCTCAATGATCTTTAACACATTGTTCTGTCCCAGACTTGGGTCAAATTCAGGTTTATTTTGTAAAGCATTTTTTAAGTGATATTGTGTACTTAGATTGGGATTGACAAGTCATTCTTGTTTTCTAATGATCAGAGTGATCAATGGTTTCAATGACCTGATCCAAATTCCCCAGACTTTCCATTTCAATGATTTAGCAGTTAATGATAAATATTATTTGATCACGTGTTRCAGAGTGTTAGTATCTTGCTTTATATTTCCTTTTATTAAATCAACTTAAAAAATGTTTCCCATTATAAACCATTTGAGTGTCTTGCCTGAATCAATCATCAACAGGCAGCCATGATTCATTCTGATGGGTAACAGTATTTGGACTTTGTTTCTAGGACTTTTCAGTGTCCTTTATATAAAGAAAAAAATCTAAGTTCATATTGTTATTTCCCAAATTTAGAACTGCAAAATTTTTAATTCTTCCATTTCATTTTTTTCTTACATTGAAAAATTCTTATTTTTAACTAGCATATTTATTAACAATTTAGTGACTGAGTAGTTTAACATTTCCTTGTAGTTCTTTGTGCTCTAGGGTACATCCACATAGGGATGCGTAAATTTCTATAGTTTAAAGGTCA